CGTTGGGCGTAAACACCTGGAGATCAAGGTTGTCAAACCATGCAAAGATAATGCCAACAGATCTCGGTGCGTTGTCTCCGAGAAAACGAGCAGCTGATTTCCGAAATCTTAGCACCTCACCGTAAGTGGATATGAATCCATGCTCATGAAGTAGCTTAATGAGTTCGGAACTGCCATACCGATGCTGAAGTTTTACGCCCAATCCTAGTGTTGTTTGATTTCTTGTACCTGTAATGTGACTTTGAATTGACTGGCTCAGACTGAGCGATTTCTTGGTAACTTCACCACCAGAAACTAAATCCGAAATCAATGTCAACAAAGTGGGACTGGTTGCCTTGATTGTGTTAGCTCGTGTAAACTCAGATAAGTCGTAATTAGCGCTGTTATACTTGACCGATCGTGCCTCACGCTTGATTTTCCTCAATAGAGAATCACTGCTTTTCTCATCCGTTTCAACCACCTGGACTACCTTGAGAGTTTTAGCAATAGACTCACGGTAACCAACAAGTGTAGCACACCCATCTACCCGAATAACAAGTACATCTTTATCAATGCAGTCAGTCAACTTTTTAAACATCTCGCGTCGTGATAGTTTGCCTCCTAGATCAGAGTATAGGCAATGCAGTTCAACGCTATTCCAGATTTTATACCTGTTTCCGTTCAAGAACTCAATGACCTGCTTAAGGGCGTTATCATCTACGTTTCCAGTTGGTAAGTCGGCATATTTGGGAATTTTCATAAAACTGTTGTAGCAGCGAACATGATATTTGCACTCGGCAGAAGGTAAGTCAGAAACAAAACCAATGTGTAGCTTGACTCTTCTAGCTATATCGTCATTACGTTGCTCAGCTACCTCAAGAATAACATCTTTCATAGATTGAAGTGGATTATGTTCTTTATCATAACGTTCATGCGTCATGCATTCACGAAAACGGTCCCATCTATCTGGGTGTTTATCATCTTTTGGTAAACATTCATCACCACAGAATATGCAATCGCGTTTGTAGCAAAATGCACCATTATCATCTGCTTGAGCTTGAAATGACCTTGTAGCCACCCTAACACATTCTCCTTCAGCCTTTCGTTTTAGCGAGTTTTTAACTCGGTTAATTTTTTCTTTCGATGTATAAGTACAGTAGCAACCTTTGTGGCAAACTATGCTCGCGGCATTACCATCAACATCGATGATGTCCTGCAGCTTAGCCTTTGTATCCACATCTCCAGGGGAATGAGCACACGAGATTAGTTTGTGGATGCCTCTCTCGGTGAATCTCTTCTCCTCACCACCCCCATGACAAACTGGGAGAAAACACCTTGAGCCATCCATAATTGAAGTCACAAAAAAGTGTGAATCGTGTATATTATCGTATATACCTGTACGCATTACACGTTTCACTGTGTCCGATATTTTGTTTTAACTATTTTAACTCGAAAAAAGCTACGGTGAGCGGTTTTATGTTATAGAAACTTTTCGTATGGCAAAATTAATTAATTAAGCGTTTTGTTTGCACTTAAAAAACACTAAATGTTTTGTTTCACAAATTGAAAAAAAAATACTGTAAGTGTTATTGTATTATATGAGCTTTACATTAGGTTTTTTTAATAAGTAAAATCAGTTCATACACTCATGTCCATTCAAACATTCAGGATAAACTTACCTTATTTTAGTAGACTTACAGTTCTGTAAACAATGTATAAGCAGGAAGCAAGTAAAAATCGCTTTGATGCCTAAACTGCCAGTGTTTGTAAAGAAGGAGTAATCAATTTACACTTTATGCGATGTGGATAGCGGTATCTCCATCAATCCCATTAAGTACTTCATCTATCCTACATTATTTCCATTATTTCCTTTTGTTGAAAATAATTCTGATTATTACGTTTATGTAACTTTTTACAGAATTCATCTGTAAAATTACTTTGCAATTGACCTTAAGAGCCTGCCTAGATAGCTTATAAGCTTATAAAAACAGATTAAAATTTATTGTTTGAGGTTAAACTAAATATATTATACTTAATGGCCTAAAATGGCTTTGACCTTGACCTTTGAAAGCATATTGATCGCATATTGACCCTGGAATAAAAACAATTAAGATCAGAAATCGATTCCTGATATCAATGTTATATAAAAATGGGATATTTTTTAGTTTTTATTAGTTTTAAGTTGATTGGTGAAGACATTCTTTTCTACCCTTTTCATGGTGGCCATCTTGGATTTTTTAAATCGGCCATCTTGGATTCAAGCCAACCACCAGAGTTCCCCAAAGTTGCCACTCCGGCAACCAAGCTAATATTGTTCTATAGACTAATGTTATTATGAAACCACAAAAAAACAATACACTTCTCACAACAACTAGGTTATTATAGAAATCATATACAGTGGCAACTGGACTAATAGACTCATTGCTAATTTTAGGCTAACCGTACATTTGTAAAATAGAGCCTGATCTCAGGTTAATTTTAGGCTGGCGTTTTTCATATGCACATACACGCCCGTAAAAGTTGAAATCGCTTTTTATCCTACTTTCGAAACAACTAAATGTATAAAAAAAGGACAGCATTCAGTTTTATCTATGATTTAATGCACGTTTGTTAAGGTTATTAGCACCTTTACGAAATTTTAAAAGATTTAAACTTTCCCGTGCGTACACGTTCGTGTGAAAACGCATAACTGGAAAACAGCCCTATTACGATCTTGTCAGGCGCTATTTTTTAATTTGGAAAACGGGAGTAACGAGATGGTACCGGTGTTTTAAAACCTGGTCTCTAGACTCTGGGCCTGGACCGGTCACTCGGTAATTCTTAATGATCTTAATTTAAAACTGACAGAAATAACAAGAGCAATAAGATGTGACCGGTTTTTTAAAATGTCCGGAAAGTTTAGAGCAAACTTGCAACTACAAAACAAGCACGTAGTTCTATTAAAGTATAAAGTTTAATTTAAGTTTAATTATATGAGAATAAAATATAGAAATGTCCCGTTTCGTTTGCACTTATACTTGCGTTGCAGAGAAAACCAGACTTGAAAGCGAAAAAACCTTTATTCAACGTAACGAATGGAAAGACCCCTGCAAAAATGAATCAATCTAGAAGTTGCTATCGCAAGTGTAGTCCTAGCCTGCGAACAGGCTTTATAGAGACCCCTGAATAAACACGTGTTCGCAGGCTAGTGTAGTCCTACCTTGGCTGCATACATGTACATCAAAAGCCAGAAGGGTTTTTTGTACTGCCCATCGTCTCATGAGGGTAACAAGCTTGTATAAATCCATGTGGTAAACATACATTTACACAGATTCGGTTTAATTCTTTAATTACACATAAATTCAGTGAATATGATGAAATTTGAAATGTAGAGTGGCAAGGTTTTGAATACAGTCTTTTTAAATTAATACTATAAATTTACTGTAATGTCCATTTCTTTGAAGTAGTAATATATTTTTTGCAAGTATTAGTACGTGTGTCTGTGGAAATTATCCGATTGTTTGAAATAATAATTGCATGTCTTTCAAGTAATATTTTAAGTACTAATCCAGTAGGAAGTAAAAATCCATTTGTAATTGTAGGAAGTAATAAATTCATTTATTGGAACCAATGTGCCCATTTCTAGGAAGTAATAAATCCATTTCTTGGAAGTATAATTTATTTCGAGAAAGTAATCAATGCATTTTTTTGAAGTAATGAGTCCATTTCTTGGAAGTAATAATTCCATGTCTTTCAAGAAACCTTCCATTTCTTGTAAGTACTAACCATTTCTAGGAAGTAATCAAATTAATCCATTCCTTGAAACTAATAATCCAGTTCTTTAAAATCATAATCAATGTATTTGAAGTAATAATCCATTTTTTTCTTTTGGAACAAATAGTTGGTTAGCATTACCAGAACTCGTACTAAGTATCTCCTTTCAGAGTATTAACAATCTATAAAAAGACAAAAAATATTTGTAACTATGCATAGCTCACCAAAAGATTGACGTAATGTATTGTCTCGTATACGTATATAAATTATTAGTTTACAAACTACTTTGCAAACTAATAATTTATAGAAATTATTAGTTTGCACTTTGCAAAGTACTTTTCAAACTAATAATTTATACTTAGAAAAAGTAAACTTACCTAACTTCGCCTTGCCAATCATCAAAATCTCACACAGAGAGAATAGTAGAGTAAATTAATTAAAATATATTAGGTTCAAGTTTTTTTTAAAAAAGATAATGTGTAATAAATTCCATTGAGTAGAACATTTACAGTAAACAGCTGGACGTATACGTGTATGGGATCCACAACTTTAATCTTTGACAATATTCAACCAGACTGGTTTGCACTGTGTGTTCTTTGTGCTAGCTGATCTAACCTGTTTTCCTCTTCATGCCTGAATTGCAAATTTGCTGAAGATCTTAAGCTTGTCAATCTCTCAAAAGTCATTGGTTCAGTGACACAGGATGATAGTGTTTTTACCCTACTGACAGAAACGTAAGAGGCTCCAGCAGTTTTCTCTGACTTACCAAATTATGTCTATCCAAGCTTTTGATAGTGTGAGTCCTTGACTCTTGTGGATGGTTAGAGCCCAAGCAAGTCTAAGAGGTAATTGCTGTCTCTCATGAAGACCATTTTGTGACTCTGAAGAGATAGTGATTGGACATATTGAAACATACGATGGTTGAGTGTTATCAAATGATGGACCTCTGTAGTTGTCAAAAGATAAAATCTATGACAGTTCCAGTAGCCCCATTGCAGAGACCAACACTTGACCATAAATTCATGGTTAACATTACTTTAGCACCCTTTGCTAGAAACGCCACAGGTTCTAATCCAGACATATCTTCAGCAGGAATTTTCTTGGCAGATGCTGATGAATGGCGAGCATTGATATTGGTGACTGGATGATCAAGTTTATTCGTTGATCATGATTGTAATTTGCGACTTGCTCATTGCTGTAGAAGAGTCTGGTAGCATCTTTTAAACTCATCAAGATTTGTAATGGTGAGGACTGACGAGTCAAAAGTAATTTCCAATCTTCAATTGTCGACTCAATCGTCGCGAAGGCATCAACATTGGGGGTCGTCATATTTTGACCAACATTTCCTAGGATTTTGACCAAGTTGTAAAAAATTTTTCCTGAAAATCTTGTCGCGGGGGGAGGGCGGGGATGTCGTAAAAAAAGATTTCGGACTAACATAAGCATAGTCAAAAAAAATTTTCCGGAATTACATAAGCAAATTCGAAAATTTTTCCACCAATATAAGCAACGCTTCCAATTTTTTTCAGCGCAAACATAACAAAACCTTTAAAATTGTTAAAATTACGAACCATTTCATAACTTTCGGCAAATTCGACCTTCTTTTATCCCAAACTTTGACCAAATTTTTTCCAGTTTTACCTTTACCTATCAGTTCCATTTTGACCAACTTTGAGCAAAATCACTTCCATTTTGACCAACTTTGACCAACGTTTGAATTATTAGGGGTGTTACACCCCCCACACACCCTATAGCGGCGTCCCTGGGATCAAGAACTTTCCTCCAAGCAACTTGTTGTAACATGCTGTTGTTTGCTTACAACGTTTATCTACCCTGCCAAAATTGACTTGACCAAGCATAGAGTATTCATCAATGATAATATATTCAACACCATTTAAATTTTCCTGCAGTCTGGACCATTGAACTATAAATAAACTGGAAGGCTAACTGCTATGATGAAGGCCTATGATTTGATGAAGCCAAAATAGTTTTTCTGAGTTATGAGCAGAATTACTTGACCCCAAACGTCCGGCTATATATCAAATTGAAGCTATTGAAAATTGCTATTCGGTGTGGAAATTTCAAGACTTCAGCGAAAAGAAAAATATTTAAAAAATACAAAAACAACTGCAAAACGGCAAATTATCGGTAATTATGTTTGTAATTTTTCAGTACTTTCCTTTTAGCTAAAATCTTGAAATTTCTACACCAAATAGCGTTTTTCAATAGCTTCAATTTGATATATAGCCCAACGTTCAGTGTTGAGTATTTCTGCTCATAACTCAGAAAAACTTAAATGCACTGGCTTCAATTCCCCCCCCCTGAGTTAGCCTTCCAGTTTATTTATAGTTCAATGGTCTGGACAGACTCTGGCCTGTTAAATCTTTTCTACCTCGTGATCCAATAGGTAGTTTCAACAATGAGTGAATAGTAATACCTCTTATACTAGAAAATACATGTATGCAGAAACCCTCGCCTTGCTGACAAAACCATTGTATTTTCCGAACATGAAGTCACAGATTAAGAGGACCTCTTAAATCTGTGATGAAGTTCTAAAGTAGTTGTCATGGTAACACGATAATTTAAGAATATTCTTACAAATGAAAAATCGCCTAAAAATATCACTTTTAATTACAAAATTATTAATTTCCCAACATAAATATATGTTAGGTATGTTTTTATACGTAATATAAGCCTCAATTTAAGGTAAAATTCAACCACAAACGCTTCGCAAAACGTTTTAAAGTCACTAGTGTTCATTATAAAACTAAACTGCCTTTTAAAATGGCTTTATCGATAAACTTTGAGTTAGCAATAAAATGATTTCAAATTCTGGATTGCAAATAACTCAGTGCTTTCTTTTTTATTTAGAAATTCAATATCATAAAAAAGGGAATCAATATTAAAGATACACTAAAATTATATGCTGTTTGTTTAGTTGTTTCATATACGCAAAGGCCGTCGGGTTTTAAAGGCATTATAAAATCAATATTTAAAACAAACTTACCTTCGTTAACGTCGGCTCCCTTCTTTTAGACGATTCTTTCGCAGTTTCATTTTGAGAGAGCTTTTGAAATTTACAAAATCTTGCAAAAATGGGAGTAAAAATGAAATATATTTGCAAGAAATTTATCAATCATCAAATCAAGAAATGTTTGCTATTTCGCTGTCGTGATACATTCGTGCCAGTCGTTATAATGCAAAATTTAAATTGGACCAATCAGTGTCCGCTATTCATGACAGTCCGCCATATTTTTGAGATCAGTGAGGATGACCACCCATCGTTGGTCACCCACGCCCGCGATATTTGATGAACTTTAGACTCCGCTAATGCTTTCGTTTCCCCGGGTGTAAATAGCCGGGGGGAATTAGTACCCTCGCACGGCGCTTCGCGCCGTCGGCTCGGGGATTATAAGCAGCCTTGCCAGTTGTAGCAGTAACTGCACATTTGCTCCGCAAAAGATTGCGAATAGCATTGATAAGGTAACTCTTACCTGTAGCAGCTACACCAATAACAATGAGACACAATGGTTCTTTGTCAGGTGAAATACTATTAATATGTGTCTTAACAATATTGTATGCAAGTTTTTGCATTTCACTAAAACTGTTTGTATTGACAGCTTCATACTCTACGTCATCGATATAATCATCTTTTTTAGTTTTAATCCATGTTGGAATTTCATGAATTTGTTGCTCAGAATACTGAGCGCTATCCTGGTGCCAGTCATATATACACTTGGGTTCTTGTTCTGAGTTTTCAAATGGAGTGTGAAGATCAGATAAGATTATCCACTCCTCTCGGGTATTTCCTTGCTCTTCACAGGTTCATCCTCTGGTTCTTGTTGACTTTGAATTACAGTTTGTAATTTGTCAATCCAGTCTGGCACATGAGTTTGTGCATAAGGTGTTTGCCAATGGTTAGTTAAAATTTGATCGGTAGGTTCTTGGTCACCCCATGCATTTTTTTGGGTTGTGCTCCAAGGTTTGTATCTCAAGAGTTGATACTTGCAATAAAGTGCAAAATTGGTGCCTTAAGGATTAGGAGAGTAAGTAGGAAATATCCTTCGAACAATATTATCTGGTAGTTTTGTCAGCTCATTATTAAAGGTACGTTTACACGCTGCGATTTGTCGGGCCGATTTTGCTCGCTGCATGTAAATAACCTGTCGTCAGTACTCGCGTCAGCACCTTGCGATTCACAAAATCGGGAGAAAAATCTGTAACAAAACCACAGATTTTTCTCACGATTCAACGATTTTTCTTCCGTTGTAAAGTTGTTGAAAACTTTTCGCACGCAGAAAACTATAACATGAACAGACGAGAGAGCGGACAGCTTCAATTGAACTTTTAAATCGCTAAATGTCGAAGAAGGGGCATCGATTATTTACCAAAATCGGCCCGACAAATCGCAGCGTGCAAACGTAGCTTAACAACTCGGTAGGTTGTAGCAAACTGTACAAAGTTCATGTTCATAATACTTTGAGAGTTGTCATATTGTTGACGGTTAGCGTAGACGTCAAGAAGTGAATTATCAGTGCAAGAATCGCCATCCTCAATAGATGCATTGTCACGTACTCTACGTGAACCGTTTAGACTCACTGGAATCACTTTAAATGATGAACTGTGTAGTTTCAGTGACAGCAAATAATGCATTGTCTCTTGGGCTGCATAATTTCTTTCACCTAGACTTTTCATTATCACTTTCTTGATGGCTCTTTGAGGGTCACTATTATTGTCAACATTTTGAACAATAGAATTAAATGCCTGCTTTAGTAAAGGTGACCTTGGTTCACCTTTAGCAGCATATTGAGTGAGATATTCTACACAAGCATAGTGATCAATAACCACTTGAATATCACAATTAGCTCTCCAGCTTTGTAGCTGGAGTTGTTGATGATTGTTCAACCTTGAATCATTTCTTCTAGTAACAATCTTTGCTCTATATTGTATGTTGTCACATTTATTGTGAATTTCTTCAAACTCTAATTTTGTCTGAGGGCAAAGGTCAAATGGAAAATGAAATCTACATTTCATTTCGGATTCATTCGATTTTTTCCTTAGACAATAATTTGTGCTACAACGAGTGTGTCGTTGAACCATATTCAAAAGATCCACATAATCAGATTGAAAAGTCAAATGCAGGGATGTCATTATAACGTTTCTGACATGGGTGAACTTGTGGTCTTATCCACATGTCCTTCTCTGGATTGACAGTTGACAACAACCAATCAACATACTGACTAGTCCAGTCCCAGACCCTATTCTCGCCACACGGCGCGGCGGAGAAGGAGGGTCCAGAAGAATTTGCATGCGCATGCGTCAACTTGTCCAATCAAAACGGTTGCGATTGACTTCCGGGAGAAGGGAAAACCCTTACACCTGTTAAACGCGCGCGCAAAACGTAAACAACTCAGAGAAATAAAAAATGTCAGGTGAAGTTCGATGTCGAATATGCAATGGAGTCTGTCCGCCCGCTAGGAGATATGTACTTTACAATGCAGAAAATGATTATACATCAACAGCGATGCTGTTTTTCAAGGCATATGGTCTGTCTATTAGACGAGACAAGCCTGGATTGTCTCACCATTGTTGTCGAAATTGCCGAAATAATGCGAATAGGGCCGTCGAGAAAATTAAAAGTTATAAGGAAAATATTAGTCCTCGAGGGAAAAGAAAAACAATACCATCCTCGCCAAATTCGATTAGATCTCCACCATCGAAAACATCGAGACCTAACGAAAGAAATTGTAGTTTCAGCCAGATCATTGCAGTTTTCCAACGACAAAGCACAGGTACGACGACATTATTTAAATTTTATTATAAAAAGACCAGTCTTTTGCCGAAGAAATATGCAACTATGTATATACTAACTGAAATCGGTGTTTACTAAATATTGCTGGTATGATATCCCAATATTGTCCGAGTGAGACTGTTTAAAAATACTTTATTTGTTATAGCTAGAAAGTTAAACTTGTCAAATTACACGTACGATAATTGCAATTTTGCATCGCTGTAACAAATAAGAGTTATTGTGACAAATATTGTATTGTGACAAAAGATAGGGTAATTAAATAAATTTCTATTTGATACGCAAAAATAGACAAGCTTTCTTTTACTGCAAACACTTTAATTTTATATAAATATAATGTGGTCGTCATAAAGTGCTTTACTCCTGGTCTTGCAGCCTTGGGTGTGTTAATTATTGCAATTTTTGCACTAATATTTTAACACAAAATTAGGACGAATAATCCATAAACTTATTACAGACAATTCACGCCATTAAACCAAAAATATGAAGAAGTAGTATACATTGTAGAGGAGATAACCGAACGTATTTACTGTGTAGTTTCATCATCTTGTGTTTCTTTATATGACTTCGAGGGTGTAATTATCTAAATGTTTGTTATCATGTTCATTTAGCCATCCCATTCTAATGCAGCAAACACGACATCAAGTGTGAGCACGACGACATATCTTTCCTCACCCTGTCAAACATTTACTACAGTTTAAAATAAATCAAGTGAGTTCAGAGTAGGTTACTGTATAAAGTTACTTATTTGCAAGGCTAATTATATAACGTGATGAACCAAAGTGTAAAAAAATTTTGCCCTATCCAATCGTTGGTTATCTCGCCACATTTTCAATAATTTCAATAATCCTTTAAAACTTAGTATAAACATATGACAATTAGCCAAATTCTCTTGCAATAGAATGAGGCTCTGTAGTCAAGGGAAAGCACTTTGGCTAATTTATTTATTAAATTATTAAAATATCTAGCATAGACCTACCATTGTAGTACACAATGTGCCTCATCAATTGCCACACAAACAATATGCTCTTTCAGTTCCCTCAGAGTCTCCCTTACAGTCAAACTGGTAAATGCCTCAGGGGATAACAAAGCGATTTTGATGTTCGATTTTCCACGTCGAAGGTCCTCAACTTGTCGGTCTTTAAGATCGGTGAGCTTGACGCTATGTATTCCTCGTTCGGCCATTTTAGCCATCTGATCATCCATGAGGGAAATTAGTGGTGAAATCAAAACGACGATAGATGAACGGCAATCGTTGTTTGGTGACGATCGCAGAGCATCGCAAACATATGGAAAGAGCGTGTAAATCAGCGACTTTCCGAAACCAGTTCTCAGATGAACGAATACATCTTTACCGCGAGACAGGTAATAGATCGCTTGCAATTGCTCAAACTTCGGCAAAAAATTATATTTACACATTTCCATGGCAAACTTAACGGCTTCAACAAATTCTCTGCCAAAAATATGAAGAAACTTGTTCTCAATCAGCGCTGCAAGAGTATCAGAACTTTCCTTTGACATTGCGGATTTTCCCCCACAGTAAACAGAGCTTAGCGACCTGGCGACCTCCACATATGTGTGGTGGTAGTTGACGCATGCGCATGCAAATTCTTCTGGACCCTCCTTCTCCGCCGCGCCGTGTGGCGAGAATAGGGTCTGGGACTGGACTACATACTGACATGCTGTGTCAGCAGTGAACGGACTTGTAGACATTACGCAACCGGAAGTAAACTGATAGAACTAATACTAGGAATTTGGTAGACTTAACAAGGGCAAATAATGTTAGCCAATCAGCGCGTTTGTTTACATTTTGCGTTCTTGACCAATCAGAATGCCTGAAATTCGAAACATGTAAACAAAAGGAGTGAGAAAATAACACCTTGTTCTACGCCCTCGGTGACATTCGATATTAAACTTTTTTCGCCAAAACTGACAAATTCTGATAAAGCATGCTTTCTTCTTTAATTTCCTCGGGGGGATTTTTTAAATTCGATCTAGAACGCGAAATATTTATGTTTGAATAACAGTGTTTCGACGCGCGTAAAATAGCAGACTCTCACTTGCACTATCTTTACACACACATAAAAAATTGGTAGATTTGGCAGTTTAAACTTATTTTCCCCACACCACAGCTGACATGTTTTTAAATATTACCTATCTGATCTCATCGATCTCATTTCGCATCGGAAATGCGTCACAACGATCCAGGACTGACAGGTACAATATCGCATGACTCATTACTGTACATTAAAAGTACATATCCGGTTGGAAAAATGGCGATTGTCTGACAGACCTTCGCGAAGGGCTTAATATTTTTGCTAATAAACTGTTCACGAGGGTTTCGTTCTGTTCGTCTTCTGGTTCGTCGTCAATCGTCACGGCTGCCTCACTTTCTTGGTCGCTTTCGTCCTCTTCAAAGCAAGTCACCGGGGCAATCAGCGTTACTATTTGCTGTCTTTCGAAGACCTTCCAAGAGCTTCAACATTTGCCAACGTTGTTGCTTCACAAACTGGGCAATCGCTGATGTTGGGCAGGATGCATTCGATGTGGAACGTAGGTCCACAACCACGGAAAACGTTCCAAGTGGATTAACCTTTTCGCAGGCAGGCAAATCGCAGGTAAGATTTATATTTTATATTTACATATCTTGATACATTTATAGTCAGCGTCCTTGGAGATTGTTCCAAAATATGAGTGTGTGCCAAAGTTAAAATATTACTCATAATCTCCAGAACATGTTTGGACAATGTTTTGAATCACTGCACTTTAGAATTAGCAGTCGTTTTAAAGACAACAGAACTGGCAGCCATGGCACCCATAACTATTCAGTGTACAATACCAGACAATGTAAATTACCACCTCCCCCAACCCAGAAGTAGGCAGTTTTTATTTCCCAGCACTGCATAATCAAAATTGCTGGATTGTATGAATGTCTGGCTTTGTCTCAGTGGCCCTGCTTTGCCCCATGAACCCCACACTTCCTAGATTCAAGCAAGCGGGGACTTATATTGACTGGTACTTAGGTCCTGTTTATATGGAAGCCGGGCTGGCCCGCTAAGTGAGACAGCCCGGTAAGCGAGACCTCGCTGTGTAGTTATTTTTATAGTAAAAATTATTGTGCGTTTATATGGACAAGTGGGCTGGCCAGGTTGCCGAGATCTCACTTGAAAATAGGTGAGATCTCACTTGAAAAGAGGTGAGATCTCGCTTACCGGGGTGGAAATTTCTCCATATAAACACTCACAAGCGGGCTAGCCCAGTTGCTGGGATGAAAGATACCGCCGCAAGCTATTTTTAACAACTGTCAAAACCAGCAAGCGGGATGAAATTTTCTCATATAAACACAAGAGAAATTCATCCCGCCTGCCTGTCTCGCTAAGCAGGCCAGCCCAGCTTCCTGCATATAAACAGGCCCTTTGTTGAATTGCAACACTTGGTCTGCCTGTGTGTTACTTTTAAGTGTACCCTGTTTCTTTGCAAGGTAAAAGAAACAAGAGGTGAGAATGGAAAGCCTCTGATCATATCAATTGCAAATCCCACTTCCACACTTGAATAGGTTCAGAATTTGAATCTCGCATGTGATTGGCCATTTGTAAAAATATGTCAAACCTGTTTGGCAAATAAACACTACTGTGAGCTAATTATAGCTATCTATCTATTTAGCTTTGCCAACTGGGGCCTGGTCACCACAACAGCATATGCCAATTACTGTGAGCCTTTTTACCCAACCCACCCTGTCAACTTTCCATGTGGGAGGAAACTGGAGTACCCGGGGAAAACCTGTGACGTTCGGCAAAGCGTTGTGTTTTATTCTTTTCACATGAGGACTGGGTTTGAGTCGCATTGAGAAAGTTCTCACTGACTTGAACCTGCAGCCTCAGAGGTGACAGGCAAGTGCGCTAACCACTTGGCCACCGAAGCCCCAATTAAAAAGCCCCAAGCTATTATAGTAAACTCAACCAAACATGAATATTAATACTCCCGCAGGTGAAAAGGTATTAAATTTCTCAGGAGATAAACATATCAAAATTAATCAGTTTTGGAGGACATGTAATACATTCTTGGTTGAGTTTTAATTAATAGAATATTTTAATACAGGCTATAATTAGCTTACAGCAATGTTTATTTCCCAAGCCAGTTTGGCATATTTTTACAAATGGGCCATCACATGCGAAATTCAAATGCTGAACCTAATCAAGTGTGGAAGTGGGATTCGCAATCGACAGTGACCCTGGGCTGTACATAGCACAGGGGAGGGGGTGGCAGGAGGGGGAAACTGCCCTCCTAAAGAAAACTATATTTACAATTTTTAGAATGTCATTATTAATTATTCTTTGGATATTTGGAACTTTTTTCAACATATAAGCCTTACTGCCCCCTGGTGATACGGCCCTGATGTGACCAGAGGCTCTCCGTTCTCGCATCTTGTTTCTTTCGCCTCGCAAAGAGCCTCTGGAACCAGAGTACACTTAAAGTAACACACACACACAGAGCAAATAATATAATGCTTTTAAGGCAGTGAATTGGTAGGGAAATCATTCAATAATATCCTGTGATTATGGTAAACTATGTACCAATACCAGACAATATAAATCTCTGCCTGCTCAAATCCCAAAGTGTGGGGCAAAGCAGGGTCACTGAGACAAAACCAGATATTTACACACAGATATTTACAGATAGTGACAGTGCTGAGAAGTAAAAACTGCCTACTTCTGGGTTGGGGGAGGTAGTAATTAATTACATTGACTAGTATTGTACACTAAATAGTTATGGGGTGCCATGGCTGCCAGTTCTGTTGTCTTTAAAAGAGTTAAAGGACTGCTAATTCTAAACTGCAGTGATTCTGATTCAAAACATTCAAACATGTTCTAGAGATTATGAGTAATATTTTAACTTTGGTACACACTCATATTTTGGAACAATTTCCAAGGACGTACTGACTATAAATGTATCAAGATCTGTAAATATAAAATAGAAATCTTCCTTTAAAATTTCCATCGATTTGTGATTTGCCTGCCTGGTAAACGTTTTTCGTGGTTGTGGACCTTCGTTCCACATCAAATGCATCCTGCCCAACATCAGCGATAGCCCAGTTTGTAAAGCAACGTTGAAGCTCTTGGAAAGACAGCAAATACTAACGCTGTTTGCTCCGGCGACTTGCTTTGAAGAGGACGAAAGCGACCAAGAAGTGAGGCAGCCGATGACGATCGACGACGAACCAGAAGACGAACAGAACGAAACCCTCGTGAACAGTTTATTAGCAAAAATATTAAGCCCTTCGCGAAGGTCTGTCAGCTATTAACTGTGGTCAGACAATCGCCATTTCGCCAACCGGGTACTTTTAATGTGCAGTAATGAGTCATGCGATATTGTACCTGTCAGTCCTGGATCGTTGTGACGCATTTCCGATGCGAAATGAGATCGATGAGATCAGATAGGTAATATTTAAAAACATGTCAGCTGTGGTGTGGGGAAAATAAGTTTAAACTGCCAAATCTACCAATTTTTTATGTGTGTGTAAAGATAGTGCAAGTGAGAGTCTGCTATTTTACGCGCGTCGAAACACTGTTATTCAAACATAAATATTTCGCGTTCTAGATCGAATTTTAAAAATCCCCCCGAGGAAATTAAAGAAGAAAGCATGCTTTAGCAGAATTTGTCAGTTTTGGCGAAAAAAGTTTAATATCGAATGTCACCGAGGGCGTAGAACAAGGTGTTATTTTCTCCATCCTTTTGTTTACATGTTTCGAATTTCAGGCATTCTGATTGGTCAAGAACGCAAAATGTAAACAAACGCGCTGATTGGCTAACATTATTTGCCCTTGTTGGTAGACTTCGTTTTCCAGGAAAACGCAAGTGAAGCACATGTGTTTTGGAGATAGAGTGAGTTGTTCGTCTTTGTATTAACGAGAGTTTGGTTCTTTGTATTAAAGAAAATATAAAACAATGGGTTGAGTGCTCTCTCCTCCGCAGAGGCTTTAATTGGTTATGAAGGCGCGAAGCCTCTGCACGATGCCTCACCCAATATGGCGGTAAACCGGGGGGGGGGCGTATAATTATCAAACGCAAAATTCAAGTCAAAATGACTGAGAAAATATCTCTTTACAATACTGCAACAAGCTGACAAAGAGATTATTTACTAGATCTACGAAATAAGAAAGTGTTATGTTCAGTTTGCGAGAAAACATCTGCATTTTTTCTAGACAAGGTCTCCATCTACAGTATAAAACAATGCACGGAAACAACGTATTTAGGGAACAGGTTTTGGTTGCAAGCGAAGAAACTTTTATTTAAATTTATATTTGAGATTTGTATTTTCAGAAATGTGTCCAAAACCGCATAAAAGAAAAAAATGAGTATGTATAGCATACAGAACCATTATTAAATTTATTATCAAGACTGAAAATACAATTCAACTATTTCAACTTCAGCAATATTTATAAACAAACGCGACCAAACGCGACCTTCAGTCGGTTTCGACCTGATTTATTTGGAGGTTCGTATCTTTGGTTCAATATACGCTATGTAGATGAAAGTACGACCGTTCGATTCAGTACAAAAATATCTCCTAGTGTCTATCAATAGTTTTAGTGAAATGTCAACACTATAGCGATTTATGACCTTTGAAAGTCAAGCGGGATTTTGTATATTAATATCAAATCATGCAATGTTTACACTTGATAAAAATATAAACTAGGCATACCTTTCGGCGA